AGTCAGACCCCGGTATTAGAGCCTGTGCTGTGTACCTTAGATAGTAGAAGCATCTACTACTAAACCGACTGCTGCTACTACTACTACTACTACTACTACTACTACTACTACTACTACTACTACTACTACTTTTTCTTCTGCTACTACTACTACTACAATTTAAGGTGGATTCCTTAGATGATGGATTTCAGAAGGTCTGCGATGCTTTCTTCATCAGGGATCCTGGGGCGCGAGTCTTATTTCCTGGATCCTAAACCGCCGTAAATAGTTCCTTTTCAGTACGTCGACATACATGGTTTCTTGCGTTACCTTGCAACCCCCGTAGAATCACACTAGAAGTCACACAGGCACCCATTTTTTGTATGTATGTCTGTCTGTATGGCACATAAAACACACCAAATCCCGATAAGAGCTTCAAAAATCCTCGCACAAGTCTTTGAAGCAATCGCCAAGCGAGCTCAGGCATCCGTCTGCCGCCACGCCGTGCTGAGGCGCGCGCACAACCCCAAAGCCTAAACCCTCAAACCTAATCCCTGCCTGCCAGGACCCCAAAAAGGTCCGGGATACAGGGCTTAATGTCTAGGGTTTATGGCTTCGGGTTCAGGTTTCAGGGTTTGGGTTTCCTTGGAGGGTTCGTCTAAGGTCTTCATACGGGTATCTACACCAGGTACTAGAAGAGTTAGCAAGATTGTTGTTGAGGGCTCCTCAGGACAGGTATAGTACACCATGCCCGAAAACCGTAGTGTAATCACGAAGGCCCCAGCATTCTACGCTTATAGAAACCCTTCCTAAACCCTATAAAGGAACCCTTAATCGGAGCCCTCTATTAAGGCCCTAAACCCAAAACCCTAAACCCTAAACCCTAAAACCCTAAACCCTGAACCCTGAACCCTGAACCCTAAACCCTGAACCCTAAAGCCCTAAAACCCTGAACCCTAAACCCTGAACCCTAAACCCTCAGCCCTGAACCCTAAAACCCTAAACCCTGAACCCTGAACCCGAAACCCTAAACCCGAAA